AGCAATGGCCAAGGATTACTTGGCCTGCTCAGGTTCTTCTGGTGAACTTGAAAGGATGTTTTCAACAGCAGCCAATGTCTGTGTTGCAAGTAGGGGCAGGATGTTAGTTATCTAAAGTGAAAGGCAGGTATCCTGTCAGCTTTGGCTAGCTGAGGGATTACCTCTAGTAAAAGGCTTTAGAAAGCTAATGGAGGCTTTTAACATAGCTGAGCACAAGGAGTTTTTAAGGAATTGCAATTTGTCACAAAGGAAAAAGTAGTGTGGTTTGAATGTTTGTTTTCTATGCCTATTTTCCTTATCTATCTATATGACTATGCCACTTATGTTTGTATTCCAGCTCCCTTTCTTTTGATATGGCCCCTTTTTAAATGTGAAGTAAATTGTTTTTTTGGAAAAATAAGTCTTTGTGAGCCTTTGCAGCACACTGGAAAGCTGTAGTGTTGTTTCAGAACGCTGGGCTGCTGGTGGGCGCTCCAGAGTGGAGCGCTTGATTGCTGTGCAGCGCCTTGGAACACACCAACCAGAAGTTGCGCTGCAGGATGTGAGAATTCCTTGCAGCAGATCCTAGCTGCGCTTGAGCTGCCACGCCTAAAGCGCAAAAAAGCGCAACTGGCCCATTTTTGACCCAATCATCTAAAATGTCTCAACAGCTGTTACCCGCCACTGGTTCTCAAATCAAACCAAGTTCACCTACCTCTACCTCTTCTCATAATCTTTGCCATTGTCAAAATTTGGCTCTTCCATCCCCCGGCTTTGTTTTTCAATCTCCTGATTCTTGCCGCACTTTAGTTAATCCTACCAATCACTCTCAACAGCCTCCTGGATCAAATTCCAACCAATCTATGTCAGCCTTAGCATTGGAGTTGGAGGAGTCCAAATCCAATCAATCTGATCATTCTGACCAGTCAGATGATTCAGTAAAATTGGGAATGAATGACTGGCGTGGGGATTGATTATGTCAAGATTGGATGTGTAACCAAGAAAGTAGAGGCCCATGAAACATGAGAGAAAAAGATGTAGACAAAATTGAGGGTATAGGGACAGGATCAGAGAGCAGGCAGGACTGGAAGTAAAGGGTTGGTAACTGGATTTGATAGGATAGGAGAGGAAGTATGGCCAGGTCAGTAATTTTGTGGAAGGTAGCAACTGTTGTCAGGAAAATTGATTCAAGTACAAGATTTCCCTGTAATTTCATGTCAGACACTTCATCAAGATGAAAAAGACACTATAAAGAGCTGTATCAAGAAATGGTCATAACTAGTCAATATGAAGAATCCTCTTTCACTCAAGCATATCCAGTCAGTGGTTTCCCAATCTTCTTGTTCACGTGATGACAGGTTGTTTTTGGCTATGCTAGGCATTGGATTTGGAGGTCTCCACAGATTGGCAAGATGACAATTCCAGATTCAGTTCTCCTTTTTGAAGCCAAAAAAGTTATTTTACAATCATCACTTAAATTTTCAGTTTGCAAGAAATTTATTCAGTACCATCTTCCTTTTTCAAAATTTGACTCTACTCTCATCAGTGCACCTATCATTATTCAATCTAACACGCGACCACATGTCCTGTTGTCCTACTCACAGTGCCCATGGAGAAGGCCCCCGACGTTGGGGGCCCTTCAATCCCTCGCAAAAGAGTCGCAAAAACGCTCGCATTTGTCTTGCAATTGCCAGACAAAGGGACAGGAATTGATGAATTCCAGTAAGACTGGACCATGTTAGTCTTCAAGACCTTTCTGACATCTGGGTGGTTAGTGATTCCGGTGATGTTGGGTACGGAACTTTGGAAGGCTGAGGCTATACCAGACAGGTAAGCTTCTATGGTTCTAGGGGAGACGGGGTTGCCTGTTTGGTGGCTAATGTGTTGGCATGAGACAGATATAAAGGCAGAGAGTGAAGACACAGGGGGTACTGGATGATACTTTTCTTTGGCGCAGAACAATACAAATGAGATGATGGCTGATCAGTATTTGGATTTTGTGGATGATGCTAGTGCTTGGTCAGCATCTGACGCGGCGATTGCCTTTAGAAGCTCTTTTCAGGAGGGGAATGACATATCTGTTGTGGTCAGAGGGGAAACCTCCTTCAGGGAGTTCTTTAAATGCGTCTAGAGGGTTGACAATTGTGCACGGCATCTCTTCATAGATGGTGTCTATGACGCCACGTGAAAGGGCGTCTGCATAAATATCCTTCTTGCCGGGTAAATGGCATACCCGTACGTCAACTTTTGCTTGTATAATCTTGTAGATAAGCGATTGAAATAGGTCGCGGACTTTCTCTACCGGACGGTGTGAGAGAAATAAATCACACATGTTGGAAGAATCCGAGCAGATAAGGATTTTCCTGGCCCCTCTCTTGATCCCTATAAGGATCCCGTGGCCGGTTGCTGCTAGCTCAGCCCAATATATATCTCGGGAAGGGAGAGACAACTGAACGTGAAATCCTTCAGCGGTGTTTGGGAGCCATACTCCTATCCCGGTGTTGCAAGCGTCAGCTGTACATGTAAATTTGGTGTCATTGATCATGGCCCACACGCAGGATTCTAGGAACAGGTTCCCATCTGAGGCTTCCAGGTGGTCTGCTAGCCAGTTGAGGTTGTGTTGTATAGACTTATTGTTGATTAAAGATTTATATGTCTTGCCTGCGATCTTCTCCCAAGAGGACTGTAGCGCCCACCTCCCCATCGGAAACAAGTTAATACCCCATGACACCCATCCCAAAAGTGATTGCCATTCTCTCAAAGTCTTTGTTTTCATTTGAGTGAACAATCACAAGGCAAGGACTTGAAATGAGTTCAAGCGGACTGAATGTCGACGCTGATGAGTGATGATACCTGGACAGAACAGGTACGTTGAGTTCTGGATGAACTTGAAATGGTAGGATGAAGGGCGGAAGGAATCACGCCTTACCTGGACAGAACAGGTATGTTGAGTTCTGGATGAACTCGAAATGGTAGGATGAAGGGCGGAAGGAATCACACCTTACCTGGACAGAACAGGTACGTTGAGTTCTGGATGAACTCGAAATGGTAGGATGAAGGGCGGAAGGAATCACGCCTTACCTGCAAAAGAGCAGGACAAACGACAGTGGTAGGAAGGTCTCAAGCTTCAGTTTCCACGTGATCTATTTCACACACACACATAAACTAGTGATGAAAGATAGACAAAACTAGAAGACTAAATAATAGAATGAAGAATAGACAATCACCTGGACAGAACAGGTACGTTGAGTTCTGGATGAACTCGAAATGATAGGATGAAGGGCGGAAGGAATCACACCTTACCTGCAAAAGAGCAGGATAATTGACATTGGTAGGAAGGCTGTCGATAGAGGTGAGTACAGTCCAGGTAATAAAACACACACAGATATTAGAGTAAGAGAAAAGAAAATGCTTACTCTCAAGCTTCAGTTTCCACGTGATGATCGAAGGAAACTGGAGCTCGAGAGAGAGCAGGTATAAATGAAAATTTCTGGTCACACAAAATTTTGGGAACTCATCCCAAAGAGGAAAAGATAAAACACACAAACACAAGTAGTTGAGACAGATACGGATTTGGACAAGAATGAACAAGGATGAAAATGAAGAATAGCTACATTGAGATTTGTGGTACTGATTCATTCTAAGCCACCTGAAACACTACACATATTCCAACATGCTCCTTCTTCTCCTACCCTAGTCTTGAATTATCAGCAGCTCATTCCTGAATCACACCTACCAAGTACTTTACTGTTCTTCTACGTGATGAACTTGACATTCCATCCCAACTACACAACAACAGGACTAGGTCGGACTTCTTGGTTTTGGGGAGGGTGAATAACATGGATTCCGCTTTCACCAAGTGTCCAATGATTTCCAACTCCTCTCCTGAGGAGGTCTAATAGGAGGAGGAGTTTGCTCTGATCGAGAGGGATTTCGTGTCCTTTGAAGGTGACTAGAGAGCTCGCCGGACACACTCCCCATGTGTCGTCCATGAGGTTATTGATGTGGGTGATGCCTAGTCGTGTCCTCGCTATCCATAAGACGAGTGAGAAAAAGGAGGCCCACAGCTTTGGAAACGCGGCTGAACCAAAATTTGTGCATTTGTCAATGTGGAACGTATTCCCGATCCGTACGACTTGCCTCATCTGCCACGCCAGTGCCATTGCCAAAATCCTATATGCATTCTGCACGTCTGATTTTCACAACAAGAGTTTGATACCTTTCTTTTTCATCGCTACCATATAAGGAGCAAAAGATATCAGAGAGTCAAAGGATACTTTGATTTTTTCTTTTATGATTGAATCATTGAGTGAGGGTGGCCCGTAGCTCATTTCAGTGCACACTCTCATCTTTGTAGTACCCTTCTTCTCTACCAAGAGCAGAGGTGAGACTTTCATCCCCGGTAATAACGTGAAAACCCCTCGGAATATCTTCCTGCGGCCACTTCTTTGGCTCTCGCCGATTCTAGAAGTGTTGGGTGGTTAGAACACATGCTGTGGTTCTTCACGTACACCGTCTTCTGGGATGGGACCTTGCTCATCGGCCAGAAACCCTGCTTGAGTCCTAATATGACAGACTTCACAAACGGCTGCTTTGGATGGTCCACTAGCAGGAATTCAAACATCTTGGCGTCTATAGGCCATTCTATCGAGAAGAGGTCTTTGTATTGGGACAGCGCATATTTTGCGCAGGGGTTGTCTTGTAGAGGTGGAGGAGGGTCTAGTGGGAGGGCTGATAGGCTTGAGTCGATAGCGTTTGAGTACCCTACCGCTCCTGTCCAATCCCACTCGTAACCTCTCTTGAACTTCCGTATTCCGAACTCTTTGCTTGTTAGTTCTCTTGCTACCCATTCCTTTGTGTACTTGTCTATGTCATTCGCGACCGTTGGATCTGGCCTGTCTCTAAGCTGCATGAGTGATGCACTTATGAGACTTGTAGCAGTTCAGGTAGTCGCACATTCCGTGAATCCTGCTGCATTTGTCGTCTTGGCACTTGACGAGGTTCCACCCGCCGCATAGTTGTTAGTTTCTCGGCAGGTTCCTCATGTTTTTGACTTTACCTGCCCATGGGTGTTCAGGTTTTGGCTTTCTGTAAGACGTGACTCTTGGTGGATGTGCTTTGGTCGTACTAGAGGAAGCAACTCCATTTGAGTTGGACATGTGGTGTGAGTCGCGAGACGACTTCTTATCTGCCAGCGCAAGATGCTTGAGGTGGGATAACTTGTCGCTCGCGAAATCTGTGAACGACAGGTGTCTTCTTGTGGCAAAAGCTTGGCGTAATGCAATGTTGTAAGGAATGACATCTTGCCAGTTGCCCTGTTGTTGAATCATATCGAATGACATATGGGGTTTGAGCTGGTCAGTCTCTGTTGTGAAACCCTTCCCGATATTTGGGATGTCTTGGTGTATAGGTATGGTATGGGTATAAAATAGAGTATATGGACTAACCCTTTCTCGGAAAGTCCGCTCCATGATTCGGAGATGCTTGTGGTATTTTCTAAACAAATCCTCTGCAGTCCTGTAACAAGAACCAGAAAGCAGTATCATGGAAAACTTCAGTCAACAACCATCTCCTGCAGTATTTCTCATGCTGTATGTGCTTTATAAGTTATAGACTTACGAAAGCCAGACTGAGAGTTTTGACCAGATAGAACACTGCGTCTCTCCATTCTGTTGCCTCATTGAATGGCTTTGGTTTGATTTTTGATGCAGGGTTGGTGTCTTTTGATCTTGACGCCAAACTGAAATTTAGCGTGACTGGTCCTGTGTTGATCTTCTCCAAGTCGATAAACTTGTATTGAAGTAGATCTTGAACAAGCACATCTGGGAAGTGGTGTGATTTTCCTGAATACCACGCGAAGTGAAACACTGCATCGAACAGGATGTTGTCTCTGTATTCTTTGATCCGTTTGTTGATTCCAAGTCAAACTTAACAAAGTCCCTCGCCAAAGGCCCGAGGCTGAAGCGAGGGACTTACGCCTAATGTCCAGATTTTCGCGTGAGATCTGCCGGGGCATTTGCCCAAAATCTATGATCTCTCTTGCTGAGAAATCACACCAATCAAGTTCCCTCAACCTCCTTATGAAATACGAGCGCATGACTGGCGAGAAACTTTCTGCGCTGGCAAAACTCTCATAACTCAAGCGGCTCTCAAGATATCACAATTTCTTCATTTGGGGCGCACACGGGGCCGTACGCCTCTTCAACGATTTTACATGCTGCGCGTCACAAACGAAATAATCTGACCAAATTCTTTAAGATCAAAATGTAGTTCAAGGGTCTTAATGACAATGTATTATCCTTGCCCCTGCTACGTGAGGATAGGCACATTAGTATGGATTTTGAGTCCTGCAGCAATATATGAGCTTACGCGAGCTTGTCCTCATATGATTTGGCATCACCGATATTGCACGTTGATCTCAAGCTGATCCGCCTGGGCAACCAAAAATACCAACAGGAATGCAGTCAGCGATGACTATCGGGATTCATTTAGAGTGCCAGGAATGCTTGCCTCAGTCTGCATGAAGTCACGCCATATAAGTCTTTCATGGCCTGCGTCATAAATTTGATCGCGGATCATGCCGAGTAGGTGGAAGACTGACCGACCACAGTCGAAAGCATCGCCGCGCCACGTGAGTTGATGAGGCCAAAGCACACGATGCTGTCGGTTGAGCAAGACGTAAAGAAAGTCAAACACGTTTGTGTTCAGACTTGGATATAGCGGAGGATGTTGAGGGCTTTCCCAAGAGGTGACAACGGCGCTGTCCTGTGCGCGACATGCCAATCAGGACGAACTGCTGCGATATATTGTCGAACCGTCAGGCCTTCTTGATGGATCATGGCGGTTATTTTGGCATAGGATACTTCACGCTCCTCCTCGCTGTCGGGAATGACAACGTCATCGCGTTCACGTCTGTTGAAATCGATCTCGATATCATCGAACTGACCGGTTTGTACAATTGTTTCATCCATAGTAATATTGAGATTAATACAAGGGGGATTCGACGTGTGGATGATATGAAGAGAAGGAGTAAATATGAGGTGATGAGGTGAGATAGATACATCAAATCTCCCGGCGTCTCCGTAGCATGAAACCAAAGGAACTTATAGCTCCTTCATGGTGTGACAAGTGTCACAACAAGGAGCTCGGCTACCACCGAATCCATCCCAGGCTCTGGGGTTCATTTGCTAGTGAATCACGGCCAGGGTTTATATTGTTCAAGGTTTCAGGGGGCTCATGCCGTCTCACAAAAAACTGCTTCGACATTTTTGTAGACTGAAAGTACATCTATTGACTGCTGAATTATATTATTACATCCACTTCATCACAACATAACCCGTCAAAGAATTATACATTTGCTTCTTTATACCATGGCAATTGCTCATACTATTCCTAGCCCTACAAAGATGCCTGATACCGTTGTTCGGACTTTGAAGATTTGTGACTACATGAAAGAGCTAGACTTCTCACCGAAAGAATTTATGGTCACGTTCTTTTCGGGTCAATACGAGGCGCTCAATGTGAAAAGGCGCCTAATGAAAACTGGCCTCGGTATCAAAAGTACTTGGTCAATTCTCAATAACCTAAGAAAATTGACATCGTCCACCGAAGAAGGGCAAGCGGATTGGGAGGTCTTGATTTTAGAGCAGGTCAGTTATCGTATCATGTACGTTCAAAGTCATAGGTAGACACTTACACGCTCGGTGACTGTCTGTGACTAGGCATCCCACATTGTCAATGCCCAGGAAGTGGCACATGGACATTTCCCTGCCGGCGCGTATGTTAGTTCAAACAAAATCACCCCCAACTTTTTCAGCGAGAGTGCGGAAGCCCATCGAGAAAAACAAGTACGCACGGGGATGCCATTTCTTTACAGTCTGATACATAACAAGATTGGTGTTGCAATGAAGGTCAAAGACACAATGAAGTACGGTGACGATGAAGACTCCGTGGATTTGGCACTATCTTCCTCCGAGGCGGCCACCTTGTCCGAAGACCTGCAGATCGATGGGGCTCTAGACGAGACTACAGTGTTATCACTTGAGAACCTGGTGTATGTCAAAACCACACCAGCAGACCATGCAGCCCACAAGTTAGCCACGGTGAGTACTTTATGTATATGAAACTTTCTGTTGCCTTGCTAAGAACATACGACATAGGTTCCAATCATGGTGTGCTCAATGATAGCGGCCACGTGCAATCGCCGCAGCAATGCAATCCCAATGGCCAATGGACTGGTGGCATTTGCTGGAGGTGTTTCTTGTCGAGTCAACGAATGGCTCAACTCTTTGGGGATCTCGTGTTCAAGAGGAAGCACCCTGCGAGCTATGGATCACCTACGCAAGATACAAGAAAATCGTATGTTTCAGCTGTTCAAGACTCCCCATCAAATAATGCCTTTATTGTGCTATGACAACATCGACATACACTTAAGAATCCATAACACACGCATCGACACGTCGTCTCGCCTCTTCCACGGGACCTGGGGTTTCTTCAACGTAATTCGCGCAAGCATGCAGGTTGATTGCACCAAAGAGGCCGTCGGCCTTGCGGCGTTCTTGGATTCGATGGCTGTAGCGGATCGAAAAAGTGTGGACATATCACTTTTTGCTCCTAGCCCGTCAGAGGTCCAGCATTGGCGATTGGTAATTAAAGCTCAACTGGCCAAGGCACTCAAAGAGTACACCAAAAGCATTCCAGGTGCGCCGGAGGCAAAGAAGTTAGGATTGATGAAGACTCGCCCTCCACCGGTCGACTTGGTTGCCATGCATAAGCCAAACGTCCATTTCCTACGAATGATGGACGCCCCCGACTCTTCAGCAGAGGGCGTTTCCCGGGTGCTAGATCAAATCAAAAGCCAAATTGGTTTGGATGACAAAACTTACGCTGAGAGGCTTTTGGTCGCAGGCGGTGACGTCGGTTCAAATCTGCTACTGGAGAGCTTGCGGGTAAAGCGATTTCCCCCAATCGATTCAATTGAAGGATTCGAATGGGTGCTGTCAGTCTTTGGCGGTGCTCATACGACGTGGAATTTCGCCAAATCCTTGTGGACCTTGCATTGGGGGAAGTCGGATGATAAGGATAACACCGGCGCGTGGCGATCGTCATTTGCTTTGGGTGGCGATTATAAGAAACCTCCTGCGTCACAAGATTTTAATTATATCATGCGTGCCATGCAACAACTTCACAAAGCGAACCTAGTCTTTATCATCAAGTAAGTAGTTTGCTTCAGCCCCAATGAAAATATAGTACATGGTACTCACATTTGGCAAATCGGAACAGACAGGTAATCAAATCCAACAAGGAACTCGACTTGACAAAAGTCAAAGACTGTGACACACTGTTAGAAAAGGTTTGGAATCAGTTTTTTCGTCATTCTGCAATTGAGGAAGCAAGAGTCAGCAAGGACCATACACATTATAATTTTTTACTGCGGTTGCGAGACTTTGCCACCGTGGTAGAGGCCCAAGACGCGACTCGTGGGGGAGACATTGGCCGCCTCATGGCCATGTGGAAGCGATGGGCCATCATGGCCCAAGGTTTTCCAGGCCTGTCTCATTACGCCAGACATATACCTCGCCTGGTTATGCTTTTGCAGGAAGACTTACCGGAGAAATTGGCGCATGCTATTAAGCACTCGTTGCTCATCCCATTGAGTGAGCGCAAGGATCATTGGATGCCTATCGACGAGTTCCTGGAGGTGCATATTTTCTGGCTCAAACACCTGTACAATAACACTGTGAGTAATGTTTATAGACCCAAGTCAAAACTAAGAAAGTTGAAACTAAGAAATCTCGCGGGTCACTGACCTCTCCGTGTTGTAGGGTCATGGAACAGACATTGAGCGCCTCACATATCGGTTATCAAACAATATTCCACTGGTGAATTGTGATTTCTTTGCGATTTCATCTTAAACTAAACTAATCTGACATAACATCTCCCTTCTTAAACTAAACTAATCTGACATAACATTTCCCTGCATGGCGTGCAGTTACGTAAACTAATGCAGCTTCTGAAAGCGATGGCGGGCCACAAGATCATCTATCAGCCAAATATCAACGCCATCACCAAAGATTCAATGGCTGCTTTCCTGAAATATGCCAACGAGCATTTAGCCGACAAGACTGAAGCACGACAACCTCCCATGGTGGTCAACTGTCACCGTGCCGGCCTGACGAACCTGGTCCAGATGATCACGGCGGACAAAGATGCGGGTCAAGCATCCCGTTTTCGTTGGGGTGCTTCAAATGTGTTGTCGTCTTGGGATGATGAGGATGTGAACGAAGATTAGTTTCCGGGGTGCTAATGAAAAAATGAAGGGTAATGTAAGGAAGGTCAAACAAATAAAAGAAATGGCTTACAACATCTCTTGCTCGCTTGGTGCGTTCACTTGCCTCTGGCAAGACTTCAGCCGCACGCTTAGTAGTCTTTCTGCCACTTGTTGTTGCCAAACCGTCAGAAGTTTCTTGTTGTCGTGCCTTTGGCAGTCGCCGTTTTTGCAAGGGGGCAGTGGCTGTCTTGTCCTTCTTGAGAGCATCCGCCACTGCTTTTGCCTGAGCACGTTCCTCCCGCTCAGCGGCCTTTCGATCTTTTTCCAATTTGCGAGCCTCGTCTGCTGCCGCTTTGGCCTTAGCACGTTCCTCTTGCTCCGCTGCCTTTCGCGCTTTTTCGAGTTCGCGAGCCTTGGCTGCTGCTGCTTTTGCTACGGCACGTTCCTCTCGCTCAGCTGCCTTTCGCTCTTTCTCCAATTGGCGAGCCTCATCTGCTGCTGCTTTTGCTAAAGCGCGTTGTGCTCGCTCGGCTGCCTTTAGCTCCTTTTCGATGTCGCGAGCCTCATCTGCTGCAGCCTTTGCTAAAGCACGTTCCACTCGCTCGGCATCCTTTTGGACTTTGGCTAAATCGCGTGCCAGCTTGAGTGCTGCCTTTTCCGCATTGGTTCGTTCTTTGGATAACTCGGCTCCTTCCACCGATTGTGGGACTTTGGTTGGGCCTGGAGGCCGATAAGCGCGACGACGCCTCTCGGCAGCGTCCGCGAGGGCTTCTGTGGTGTCGAAGTCGTCTTTCCAGCTGAGTACCGCCGCCAACAAGGAGGTGAATTGGCCTGGGACAGATTCGCTAGCGAGCACAACGGCTAAATCCTCTGGTTCTCTTAGGAGGTCGACGTTCTTGGCGACTTCCCAAGCAAGATCATGACCAAAGTAGTCCTCTGGCCCTAAATCAGTCCATTCAGGGAATAATCTGTAGAAACACTCAGAGAACGAGCTTTTCACGCGGGTGACCAGAGTCTTCAAGAGCTGGTCTTCTAGAATAGGGTCGTTTTTAGATATACGCAACACTACAGGCCAAGGTGTTGTTGGAGGAATTGGAGGAGGCGGTGGGAGGTTTTCTACCAGCTGGGCAAGTTCATATTCATCCATAGTGAGGGCATCATCAAAGTTGTCGTGGGTCAGGGCGCTCTGAGCTAGCCAGAGCGCCTCGGCTTCCTCGGGCTCACAAGTCGAGCAATCGCAAAGGCGCATGTTTTCCTTCTTCTGCCGTGCCACCTCCGCAATCACCCGTGAGTCTTCTACGTCTAGAGGGATATAACCGTGGCTGTTATTAAGTGGTCAGCCGCGGTTGCAAACACCTGATTGTCCGAAAAGGAAATCTTTAACCACTTACGCTAGATCTACAGCCAAAGCAACACGCAGGCAGACCGGAGTAATGGCAAAAGCGTCCATCCGGTCATCGTCCGTCATGACAGTTGGAGTAGCAAAGTCGGAGATGGTGTTCTTTCCGTTGGTGCGGTTGTGTTCGACCAAAATTATGCCAAGGCCTCGACGGCCATCGCGCCCACAGCGGCCTGACATTTGGATAAAGTTACATGGGTCCTGACGCCCTAGGATGATGACACGACGCACCCGGTGCCAGTTTTGGCCCAAACCCAAAGCCAGAGTGCAGCATAGCACAGCCAGCGTACCGGCTATGTATGCTGCAACAGCGTCAAGTTTACCATTGGGCCCAGTCGTGGCGTGGTAGCGTCGTGCAAATTCTGAGCGTCCGTTCGCTGCTTTGTTAGGCTGCCCACGCGAGGTGCAGAGAGTTTGCAATACATCCAATGTATTATTTTGAGTGCCACAGTACACAAGAGTCGGAGGGATTTTCTCGTTGGGAATAATCGTATGATGAGTAAATATGCCTCGTAGTGACGCTTTCAGAGGTCGCTTGAAACTTTGACGTATGATGCGGATTTCAGGGCGTGTTAGCTCAGCTCGGTGAAATCGAACGTCGCGCTCGTCCAGTTTGAGGTTCTCCAAGATCGCTTGAATTGCCTGAGGTGTGCAAGTGGCAGTCATTAAAAGTAGAGGAACCTTGCTTGACGATAAAAACCGGCGAGCAAGGTCTCCATAAGATGGTCAAAATGCGCCTCCATCGTGAACGCGTACATGACTGGCCAGTCGTTTGGCTGCCCCGCTAGCGACCAAGCCCCACGAGTAGACCATGTGGGCCTCGTCTACCACAATAAGGACCAATCGAGCTTGAAATCGCGGATCCCGCCACATTTGGTCAAAGACGCTGCTAGTAAGGGCTACCTCCGGGCTCTGGATTGTCGCATCAGGACACTTATTGGTCAGCCTGAGGTGGCCTCGGTACCGAATAGGATGGCAGAACAAGGGCGTACCACGTAGACAAAAGGGCATTTCCCTTGCAATATTGACTGACACGTGTCCCAAGTGCAGTTCTCTGCAGTCAGATTTACCGAGCCAAGTTCCACCTTAGCTTTCTCAGCAACCTGTCACAAATCGAAGTCAATCAGCATCACAGTAAAACAGTTCTAGATAGTCTGATTTTATTTAACATGCCTGATCATCACCAAGTGAGTCCAACGGGTTGATACTCAAGATTATTGGAGCAAATTTCTCGGTGTCATGAGCGTGATAGAACATCTCAGGCACTCGACTCTTGCCAAATCCCGTCCCCGCCAGTAAAAACGTCGTTTTGTTATTGAGAACATCAACAAAAGATTCCACCTGCTGTGGCCTAGGCGCATATCCGTGCTGAGACTGAAACTGGTCGTGGGCGGCTTCACCTTGTTTAATCTCACTCGGATCTTTGTATTCTGCTTTGAGTTTTGGCCGAGCGGTGAGTGACGTAGCCCTGCGTGACTGCTGAAGCTGAGTTAATGCAGCCGCGTTGGCTGCCGAATGGCTTCGTCGTAGCATTGCAGTTCGTAAGGTTCGCAGTGCGTGAGGATTGACTTTCGAAAATAGGTGAAAATGGGTGGTACTTGCAAGTGTGTGTGGTGATATCGTGGACTTGGCGGATTTCGTGCTGATGTGCCAAACAACAGTTGGCCGGAAACTAATTGACAGTTTTGTTCGATTGATTTCAGGTATTGTTCCGTTTTGGCCAGTTTAGGACGCCGCAGTCGCGTACGGCCCCGTGTGCGCCCCAAATGAGGAAATTGTGATATCTTGAGAGCCGCTTGAGTTATGAGAGTTTTGCCAGCGCAGAAAGTTTCTCGCCAGTCATGCGCTCGTATTTCATAAGGAGGTTGAGGGAACTTGATTGGTGTGATTTCTCAGCAAGAGAGATCATAGATTTTGGGCAAATGCCCCGGCAGATCTCACGCGAAAATCTGGACATTAGGCGTAAGTCCCTCGCTTCAGCCTCGGGCCTTTGGCGAGGGACTTTGTTAAGTTTGATTCCAAGTGCTTCTTCTGACAACGGGTGTTCTTCAGGTTTCCTATTTTTGACAAATGACCACACGTGATTGTTCTTTGCTTTCTGGACTTGAGACGTTGAACTATTGCTTGATGAACTCCTTTCTCTTTCCTCTCTACTCCTCTTCTTCCTCCTTGCTCTCTCTTCTCCATTCCGACTACCGTCTTCTCTTTCTTCTTCTCTCTCCCCCTCACCTTGTCTCCTGTCACTTTCTTGCCTCTGTTGCTGATTTTGATTGTCTTCTGGTCCTTGTTCTTCATTCCTGTTTTCTTCTTCTGGTCTTTGTTGATTGAACAATAATGCCAAGTGTAGTAACAGCGTTGGTAAGATGTAAGGAGGGGTGTCTTTGATTGGAATGCTGGGGTCTGGTGGAAGACCTCCGATTGGGTAGCAATATCTGTTCGCTCTGAGATCCATTAGGGACTGGGCGAGGTTTCGACCGACAGAGGATTTAGCCACCTCAATAAGCGCATGAATCCCCTGGAAGTCGACCGAAGCGATTTATGCAAACAGGAGGTGTCAGGATTACTCCTACAAGCCCAAGAGACCCGACTGTCAGATGATTTCACCAAAACCAGAGCGAGAGCAACCTGTGAAAGGTATATCAGGCTATCCAGAAGCGTTCTGCCATAGGCTTTTGGCTGAGGTGGGGGGGGAAATTTTGAATAGACAGCTCGTCTTAGGGAGGGTCATGCCTGTGCGCCACCCTATTTTTTTTAGTGCCATAAAGCTTACTAAAAAAAATAAGGAAATTTCATATTGATTGAACAGTGGCTTAGCTGTTTGCAACTCGCTTTCAACTACGGTTGAATTGCAATTTTGCAGAGCTTCGCCCAGTCCCTATTGCCACCACTTCCGTAGCAAACATTGAGAAGTGTCTGTGAAATAACTCGTGTTCAAATGGTATCCACTTCGCGAATTCTGCTCTGAGGGTCGCCATGTCAAAATTGTGGCTCCTGCCTCCTGTATAATTATAGGCCTGTAGTAGTGTTTGTAAACCTTTTGTAACATCTCTATTGTGGTTTGCTAGATTTTCTGCCATAAACTCCTTTACGTTGAACTTTCTACTCTTGAACTACTTCTGGCTATAAGAGAAAAAAACACTACAAGTTTTGTTTGACGAGAAAAATTCAGTAAACACAGAGCTGAGGATGTTTCAGGTAACGGGAGATCTAGTGTTGGCGGAACTAGCAGTGAAGGGAAAATTTTCACGGAAACAGCAAAGAGCTTCAATATTTGATATCTGTGGAAATGTTGCTAGTTGTTGGATGCACTCAGAAGCTGGCTGGGATCTCTGACCCATCGTTTTCCTTAACCGACTGGGGTTTACGCCTGAGCTCCTTTGTCGACTTCTTTCCCACTAGGATTCTTCGGGTATGGCTGAGATTGTAATCGGGGGATCCTCAGTCCGTCGTTTTCATACCTGAATTCATCTTGCTGACTCCACTAAGTTAATAGAACACCAACCTCGAGCAAAATATGTGTTTTGGCTCCCTGGGTGAAAACATCATAAATCACTTTTTCAACAAATCACAAGTGTCAGAATCTTCTTAGCAAATCATGTCGAGAACATGCAGGTTGTCAATGATATGATCAATGAGATCATTTTGCATCTAATTGTGTGATCAAGTACATGATCTCGTTTTCGGGAACACAATTCAATGATTGAAGTAACTCATACTGCATGCTGTTCATCAAGCAAGTAAGCAAGAGGTATACAAAATGGTGAACACCCTCACACGAACTTCTTGTGACGCCAGTGAGCGCAGGTGCCTTGTGAAGTTGTGAGTCAGTCCTTTGAATCCGCTAGGGTACATCATCAAATCGTCCCCTCAGATAGACTCAAATTGAAACTGCGCACTTTGTGAGACAAGCTCAAAGTCAAAAGTAGAATTGAAAGCTTGGGGTTCATAATATTATCACGAAAGGGAAGCCGGATCGAATCTAAAAGTTTCCGGGAGGTCCGTAGCATGCGATGTAAGGAGAAGGACGAATCCTTGAAGCTGACCCCAGCCGATGGGGCACAGTTGTCCGCCCACTTACCTCTTGTACCGTGTGTGCTAGTGCAAGTGGGGGGAAATCCTTGGGATTAACAGAAGTTTGGAAGGGATCTGAACAGGCCCTTGATTAGGAAGGTCAAACTTGTCGATTTGAGACCCTTGTTAACCTCATCAATGATCACTCTGCCTTGGTCAGCGGCTGAAATCAAGTAACTCCGCATCCAGGTGAGCTCTTGGGGGGACGGTAGGAGCGGCGAATTCAAGGGATTCAACCTCTCAAGAACGGAATCAAAAGTGAGCCCAGAGAGCTGCTACTGAAGTCACACGAGATCAGCTTACAGAAGAATTGTCACCAGATTCGGACGGGGCGGATCAAGCACCGGTGGATCAAGGGGTGTTGTTTGCCACATTGCCTCCACACAGAGGAGGTGCGCTTAACTTTCTTGGGTGCTTCGTTAGGCTTTCTTTTGTTCCTTCATTATTTTAGTGAACCAGGTCACCCATATATGATAATGTAATACATTTGTACGTATCAGCAGCAGTCTCTTATCCGCCGCTGTAACACCGATGACGATCATTATTATACCTTCAGACCTTGTGTATCCAGCTGTGTATGTATCACCGGCTCTCTGCTCTGGCGTGGGTATACGTAACTGGTTTCTCGTCGTACTTGCATTATGTTGATGGGCTATATTGAAAATTGTACAAGCCAAATTACTCTTTGACTTCTCGTGTGCACTTTGTCCCCCGTGGTATGGATGAACAGAGTGTTCAGCGAGCTTGGCAAACCTACGTGCTCCTCGGGAATTATTAGTTTGCGTGACATTCCGAAATCAAACGGTAGAATTCTGTTTCGGTGTCATAAAATTCATCGTCTTGCAATGGCTGTCTATGATTTGAAGGCATTGATATTTGAAATCATAACTCTAACAAACCTCTTTGGCGTATTCGAGCAGTCTTTGGTTTCCTTCGTACAAGTCTCTGTTAACTATGCGCACTTTCCCCTCACGGGCCACACTACGAGTCATATAACCTGGTTGGATACTAAACGCATCTGCGTATCAAACTGACACCCCGACACCATAGTCCACCAAGTTTAGACCACATAAATCTCCCGCTCAGGATATCATGGTGGCACTGTTCAACTTATATTCAACCAGATCTATCTAGACACAGTCTCATCCACGGCGAATTTATTTGCGTACGCACTACCCACATAGCTTACACTTGATTATCCTCCCGACTTTGGTTGCCTCTCTTCCAAAGGGTGGGCGTCTTAGTTTTTCACTTCATCACTCCTACCTGACTAAGTTTGACAACTTACCAAGGGACCAGTTCTTCTCACAAACTCTATTGCATGAAGTTCGCCAGTCTCAAGCTCTCATTTGTTGCATCTGTTGCGCACCCGCCTGACACAATATCTTATTTGCCGCTCTTTTCATCTTCGCACGCGTTCCAAATTATAATTCCTTCAGCTTTTATCTCGGGACAGCCGTCGTCTGAACTTGTGCCATTCACGAACACAAAATAACGTAGGGAAACGGAACTCGCAAAACTATCAGGATCTTCTCTTTCGACATCTCAAGTTCGGAGCTTTGAGCATTCCATCACATCTCCATCATGCACCACCGTCGCTCTTGCCCGTACGTCTCCCTTTGTTTCATCTTTCATGATGCCTTGCGAGTTCTTTTAGCTCTTGGATTACTAACAGAATCATAACGCATTCTTCATTGAACTCACTTGATGATCTATCAAAACAAACCCTTTGGAAATTTAAACAGCTATCATGTACCACCACCCAAAAGATTCAATTCCGACTCGAAGGCCTGGATGGGCCCAGTGTTCGCAAATGAGAAGAATTCGGGCTGGAACAAGGTCTGTAATGTTCATTTTCTGACTGAGTTGCGAAGCCTGCTTGAAGTTATTAGTTTAAAGAAACTGACCAGTGTCTGCCATACCCATCTAATCACGCGGCCAACCAAAATTGAAGCTCAATGCTGTGAAAGCTTGTACCCGATGTAGAGATCGCCATGTGCGTTGCAGGTATGCACGCACTTCTTTGTGGTCTAGCTGAAGCTGGTAATCGCCATCTCATTATAATTGACACTTCATGGTCTTTGTAACAGTTTACGCACGAGTGGTGGTCCATGCAACCATTGTGAGTAAAACACCAGTTCACGAAAGCAACCGAACTCTTAGAGGCGTACTGATGCAGCTTTCAATCACTTTAGGTCGAAAGAGAAAAGAAGTATGCGTCGTGCTTGGATGGGAAATGCAACCAGACGATCCGGCCAATGTCATCTACAAGCCTGTCCTGCCTCCTCCGATGATACCGAGTGCTACCCCAATCGAACCATCGAATCATGCAGTATCCTATTCAACACCTATTAATGCCGAAGAGCTAGCGGGGCGACTGGAAAAGCTAAGGTATCTTTATGACTGTTTTCGGAAGTTAAAAGTCCCACTTTCTATGCTGACAATCATCCCGACCTGAATACAGCCCCCGAGCTCTTGCCTTGCTTTGGCCATGGGGTCCAGATGACCGCGACCCCTTCTATCCAAGTGGCCCTCAATTTGGGGACGATTATCATGAGCATTGCTCGGAAGACTGTCCGAATCGAAATCGGATAGCAGGGAATACAGCACATTATTCATATTCACCTACAATTCAATCACCTTCACTCTTACGGACATCTGGTGCCAGTCCGGCGGCTACCACATCTAGTTACATTTATTTACCCTCCTCACCACAATGGGAAATGGTCGAAGATAATGTAGAAGTCTTTGGATCACAGGAGCAACAACTTAACAGGAAGTCAGATCGAATGAGCCTGAATTTCATTCTCACAGATGAATCGCCTTCTCTTTCTTCAATTCGCCGTCGTAGCCATCCTTATCTAGGCCCACTGAATTCGATGTCAGGCTGGTCAAATATCAAACCACGTCTTCCATCATTAAGGCAAGCATTGGGAGCAGACTTTCAAAGTCATGTCCTGATGAATACTCAATGACCTCTTCTTTCGTGCATATGGTCAATGTAAAAAGCGCTTTGATGTATGATGAATTCGAATCATTTTGCAGTTTTGCAGTTTGCTTTCCAATCCTGTCGGTTTTTAAATCTTACATTAGATCAGATTTATCTTTCTTTGTTGCTTTGCAATCGTTATTCTCGTCATTTCATCGTGATTTACATGTATTCTTAAAATAGCTATTACCAGTCGCATATCTATACACTACATAAGATTTCTTTTCTGCACAAAACACTACTCACTTACTGCTATCATAGAAGAAATTCATTGAATAATTTTCCAAACTCATTGGTTGTTGACTACAATTTTTTAATTTAATCGACCTTGGCATAGTATGGGGATTGGCGCTTCCTTGCATGGGTGAAATTCAAATGTCCAGACTTCAAAAGTGATACCGGTGCAAATAGAGATATTTTCATTCTGAAAAGTTGGAATTCAGGACATAATTTTTGAGGTGGAATCAATTCTTGAAAAATTGTATCACTCATGATGCTATCCGCATTTCCTTAAATCAGAACTTGCAAGGATTTGATAGAATACGTTTCCAGGATCTCATATCTATCTTCTGATCAGCCCACAGCACTTCAATTCGGAGCCTACGGTTTCAATCACCCTTTTTGAGAGTGATAAAGTGCAGGAACCAGAGTTATGTCACTTGCAGCAAGCAAAAAGGTTTAAAAGGTACAACCAGAGTACACAACACTGGTGCTACAAAGATTTTCAGTTGATAAAAGCTGTAAAGTATGAGAAGACTGTTAACATTCCAAAATTTTGTCGAGTGATATGGAGCATGAGTTTGGGTAAGAGTTTCGATGGAGAGGTGAAGATGAGTTGTCATATGAGGTTTCTTGTCACACTGTAAGATAAAAGCGACGTGGAAGTTTGCAGACTAAGTCTGTACCAAGTCAAAAGATCACATATATTTTGATATCTCCATCTCAGCATGAGGATTTCTCGCTATCACAAGGCCTGGATCATTGTGTTTGCCATACACAACTCATGTATTGCCTATGTGGTCCACCACACAAGTATCATACAATATCAATATCCAGGAACAGCAAGACCAGTGAGGATAAATTATTTGTATATGTAACATCTGTGACTGCACATCCACAGTGCTGAAAAATATTCATAAGGTGCTAGAACCTCTCAAGATAGGAATGAAATTATTGAAATCCAAAAGCAGGGTCTGAAATTAGTTTTAGGGAATGCTTGAAATTGCTCAATTACAAATATATTTTAAAGGAATCTGAGGACCTCTAGAGGTGCCCACTATTTCTGATATCATAAGTTGATGCCTACAAATTGTCAGAAGGTTGGTTTACTGGTTATGAGAAAACATCTTTCTTTTGTGCACAGAATATGCCTACAATGTTGTTTTTGGCTCTTCATGAGCAGTCTTTTTTCTCTCTTTTTGTTGTTTTAAATCCATAACAACAGACATAACATACTTTTGTACCTGGTCTCACAGCTCACAGTTTTCCTATGAGACCCAAGCTTAAATTGAAGCACTTTTTTGTTCTGCTTCTACCTTTTTAAGTCTTGATCAGACTTGAAAAGTATGCTTGGGGGACCTAAAATCCTGCTCATTCCTTTTACTCAGCCCCCACAAATGAAACTTGTGACAAGTGTTTATTGAGATATAAAGACAATAGCAAACACCCATCCGAGCACCATCACTACCATTCTGCTTTTGTCATAGTATCTAACTTTCATTTCTCTTTCTCTTCATTACTATATATGTTTTATCATTGTCCCAAAGCAGCGCATGAGAGAAACAAACCAGACCTAATGTTGTTAACCTATGTATCGAGAAGCAGCTCATATAAAAGGCCCTTTGTTTGCGTGCCACAGTTGTTTCCTCACTCAAACATTATCGTGTCTTCTTCTTTGCTACCTTCCGACAGGTGCACATTCTCTCTCATCACTCCCTAGTGATTTTAGCCTTAGCGCTCATAGATATCACTAACTTGTGATTCTTTACCAGTCACCTGGCCATTCCTGTTTTATTAGTGTTTTGAGCATATGTTTTATCATTTAATATCCAGAGCTTCACCTGATTGATGCCTCATTAAGCTCCATAAATATCATATGACTAGTATTCACACTTATTGAAGTACAGAAAGTTTCATTCTTCCTCTCCATATTTCATGTGCTCTGTTTTTGGAATTTTCATGTGCTGCCTTTTGGGATCTGTATTCTCTTAATTCCATTTGAGAGTTTGTAACTTACATTCATCTTCATCTGTGTTTATGCTCTCTGACTTGCAGTTTGAACAATCAATAATTATTCTATTGCTTGCTTACTCCACATGCTCTCAATATAAGCTGCTCCAACATACTTTTTCACAAAGTCATCTGTCTTCCTTGGGGGACTGAGATCTGGATCAGCCAGACAAGGGAGCAAAGGACAGATGGAAAGAACATCTTTCTTGACCAGTCAATTTTGTTTTTTTTGTTGTAACACAAACATAACTTGTTATCCTTAGTAATAGCAAACAATGTTTCTTGGATTGTTAAAAAATATAAATGATATTTGCCAACAATGCCTGAAGCGTCCTGCCGCAAAAAGCGGAAGGGGAGCGGCAGGGAGCGGGATGCTCCACCCGCGCTTCTCCGGGTTAGGTGTAGCGGGTTTTTTCGCCCCACCCGCGCTTCCCGGGATTTTTTTTCGATGTCGGGGAGCGCAGAATTAGCGGGGCGTAAGTATGATGTCGCCCCGCTGTACCCTGCAGCCTGTCAGATCTCGCATGTAGCGGGTTGCAGATATCAGGCAATCCCTTTCAGATCTCACCTATCCTTTCTGACCAATATCTTTCCAACCGATTCCTTTACACCATACAATTACTTTCAGGCATCCGCAGATATCTGATACCTGGCGAGATCTTTGAAAGGAAGTCTGATTCCCGCCACGATTGAAACTTTGTCTCATAAAGATTACCGCCCACCACCAATTAAAGTATGTGCCTTTCAACATCCTTCTTTGTTTTACTCATTCTTGCCTCCAGTCACTGACTCGCAAATTATCTTACCTCACTATCAGATCTGACTATTAGATTACTTTGAGACTCAACCTGACACCAGCGCTGTTCACGGTGGGGCTGGCTGTCTTGAATTGGGGTCATGGGTTACTTGATGACGCTGAAGAATCTTTCAATCTTGGATTTCACTTATAAGGTATGTTGTCTCTTGTTCAATTTCATCTCCAGTCTTGCCAATTTTCCTGTCTCGAAAATTTTGCTTAGATACTACTGAAACATTTCATATATTTTATATATTTACTTTTGTTTTAGACTTTCCAACCAACCAAATCTTCTATTCATTCACCAAACATCTCAATCAAGTGTCCTCCAAAGTCTTTGCTTGCTCCTCCTTCGTCTGCTAGTATTTCTCCCCCTAGTACTGGTCCAACTCTTTGTCCAAGAACCCCTACCCGACCTAAACCTGGTTTCATTGCTCTATTGCCTGATCTACAACTTTCTTCTCTTCGCCCGTCTCCTGGACTTGAACCTACCAACTCTGACCACACAGAAGATAATTACGTAGCTTCTAGTGGTCAATCTGACACCAGCGATGGCATTGGTAGTCAAGAAGTGATTGAGATTGATTCTGACAATGGCAGCTTACCGGATGCTACCTTACCGGATCCTTCCGACAAAAAGAAGAACACTCGTAAGGCCAAGGTTCATGTGGTTAAAAGTCGAGGCCGTCCACGTGGGTCTGGTGCCTCGATTTCCTTAACTCGACCCCCTTGTAAGAAGTCAAGGAAAGGGAAAGGAAGAATTGAGGTAAGCTTGACCACTTGTCCCTCTCAGCTCCAATCACTGACCTTTATCTTTGAACAAATGTAGGCCACAGTTCCTAATGTGATCAATGTGGATCAAGAATCTGATATTGAGATTGTCCAGACTCCAGCTGTTTGACGTGCTCAACTCGCACATGTTGGCAACTGTTAGGTTACTACTTTCCCCCAACTCATGTCAAAGGCAAGGTAAGCCAATCTTTTCCTCTTCCTCATTCTCTTTTCTTTTACATTTTTTCTTTCATTTTTTCTGATTTGTTTTTCTCTTATTATGTGTGTAGAAAGGAGACAACCCTCAAAGCTTCAAGTGTCGAATGTGTAACGGTGTCTAAATTTGAGGTCACCGTAGTCACTATAACCTTTACGCCCATTGTGACAGGGCTAAAGGTTGAGCGGCGTGTCCACAAAGAGCACGTGCCATTGCAGCTGGCTTCAAGCTGCCTAAGACTTGGCATGAAGAACAAGCCGATAATGCTCAAGATGCGAACGAAGCCAATGGACAATCAACTCTCAATGTTTTTCTCTCCCAACCGACCTTCAATGTTGACTTATGCAACACAGTACCTGTCATCTGGATATTATGGCATGCCTTGCCATTCAACCGGTTTTATGATGCTCCTTTAAGAGCAGCATTCAAACTAGCTAATCAACGAGCGGATTTGAGGACCCCAACCTGGGCTGCTGGGATTGCTAAGGACCTCTATCTTAATCTTAGCTCCGCTGGGATAGATTTAGTTGCGGTGAGTTTCAATTTCATCCTATTTTTCTCTTATATTCCATTCCTTTTTGTTGCATTTATTTGTCATTCATATCTCTAACCTTTATGTAACTTTACTGACATCTGATCCTAATTCTGTTCATAGGGAAATGCTTGAAAGTTCTCTCTTGTCCACGATGTCTGGACTACGAATGGTAATAGATACACCTTCATTGGAGTATCGGCTAATTTCATCAATGACAATTGGACTTACCAATTGGTTCACCGGACTCTAAAAGTGGTGGCCTGGAATAAAATGGGATTCTTGCTTGCTTGACCAGTTGGTCGATTCTTGATTTCAAATGGCCTTCATTGCAAGATAAGTTTTTTTCTTTCTCATTATTATTATTATCAATTTTTCAATTAACTAATCTGAACTTTGAACCTTTACATGTTAGCTCAAACGACCGACTCGGGATCCAACAATAACACAATGGCCATTGATATGGAACAGATGTTTTCCAAATCCAAAATGAAGGTTGAATGGGATTCATCTAAGAATCACGTCCAATGCTATGCTCCCAAGCTCGGACTTGTGGTTAAGCATGGATTGAACTCAATCGGATTAGCCACAGGTCACATTAAACCAACGACTCCTCCCAACACAACCATCCCAATCCCCTCAATTGTCCTCAAAAAAGACATGACCAAAGTAGTTGGGTCTGATGATTCAGATGACAATATTTATGCTCCACCTTCATTGAATGCTTGTCACAACTCCACTTTGGATGTAGAAGATGGTCATGAGTACAATTACGTCCCTTCTAGTACGTGTGTTGTGGTTCAGGGAGCCGCCAAGGTAAGTTCTTTTTTATTATTGCATTCTTTTACAT